AAGGTGGAAGTGGAAAGTCTGAAGCAGAAGCTCCAGGAGAGAGATCAGTTGCTCATCAGTGCCTCGTGAGTACCTGTCAACCAAGAGCTTGGCCATCGGGTCCCACGGGTGGGTGTTGGGCTGGGCAGTGAAGCACAACCAGCTGCTTCTCTAAGCCAGTTGTTTCCCGACTGGCTTCTGAGGGCTCCTTGGAGCTTGTAGTTTTTATTTAATTGTTTGGCAACTGTTTTTAAAGTGTTGTAGTATAGGCAGATGTACAGGACTTAAGCGTAATGTGTGATGGACTTGTATGAAGCAAGCACATATGTGAGACCCCCCCCATCTGAGCCAGAAAGGAAGCATCACCAAGCTTCCAGAAAGCCTCCTTGCCTTCATGTTCTCACAGCCTCTCTCTTTTCCCAGGACACCCTCTAGTCTCAACACAATGGCCTTGTTCTGCCTATTTTTGAACTTTATATAAATGGAATCATACAATAGGTCCTCTTTTGTGTCTAGCTTCTTTCCCTAGCCGTGTTTGTGAGAGTCAAGTCACTTGTGTTTTCTTTTGGGAGTTCATTTCGTTCTGACTGATGAAAATGCCGAGGAGTAGAGTGGGTTTTAGTGGGTAAGGCTGGGAGGCAGAGGGAGGATTTCAGCTAGTAACTGGTTTTAAGCCTGTTTTGTCCTAGGGACTCTTGTAGTATGTTGTTTAAAGGGGATTGTAGGGTTTTATTGTTTAAAAGTTAGACACCTACAATATCTATTAATAAGTTAATTTATTTAAATCTTTATTGAGTGCCGACGTATAGACCAACTGGCTCCACAGAATTACTAGCACCATACACTGAAACTCTGCAGGGACACCGTCTCACACCCCAACCCCATAGCCGTAGGCTCCCCTGAGGCACAGTATGAGCCAGTAGGATGTTGTGGCGGTGTGCTGTAGGCTTGTGTGGCAAGTGAACACCCCAGAATGTGCCCAAAGTTCGCCCCAGAAGAGTGGAATTTCTTCCCAGGTACTCCACAAGGGCTGCTTGGACGTCTGTGTAGAAGTGCTTCCCTTGCCATGACAGTGGAACTCCTGTTACGTGTGGAGGTCCAGGAACAAGCTTGAGCACGCCAGGCTGCGCCACAGCTGGGTCTGGTAGCTGCAAGTTGGCTGTTGTGGCTTACGGACAGACCACAGACTCCTAGGCCCAGGTTCCTTTTCTGAGTGTCCCCGAATGAGTGAACAAATTAATAAATATACCGAGACTAAGATCTTCATTGGAGTTTTTTCTTTTGGAAGTGGCTCATTCTTTGGGCACTGAAGCAAGTCTCTTGTACCAGATTCAAAATCAGTATGTGAGTTGGTCTTAATAGTCATTGCCTCACCGCTAAAAATCTTGGGTAGTACTTGGTTTTGACAAAGCACATATACATCGGAATTTCTGCTCACAAGGGCTCATGTACATTCCTCAATACTGTCACTCAGGATGGGAAATTTTAGGTACTTGCATGCATATTTGTATATTTTCTTAAATGCCAGGGTTTATATTCAAGGCCCCTCATGATCTGACCAGTTTTTGTTAACTTATTTAGAAGATTCTTATCAAATGGCAGTTGTGTGTGCATTGTATGAGGCTCCTGGTGATACAGTGCTGATCCAAACAGCTAAATGAGACTTGGATTCTTCCAGGAATGGTGATGATGAGATATTTACATTAGCAAATGTATGGATGCAGGTTGGGAGAAGAACGTTAAAGAGAAAAGGAGCTGTTGAGAGTTTGTAGGTGTGGTAGCAGATATGTAGACAGCGAAACAGGAAACGTACGCCAATGGAGGTGACATTTGACATGCAGTATGAGGTGCCAGTAGAATTAGTCGGATGCATGAATGGAGATGTGTCTAGGTAGAGGCTGTGGCTGAAAAAATAGGAGGAGAGCAGCGGCGCTAGAGAGTTTGGTCTTTGTTCTAAGGTTAGATAAGTAAATGACACAGTACGGAGTTTGATTTTCAGAAAGGCCATTCTGAATGTTGGGTGGAAGAGGTATTGTGAGGGTTCCAGGAGACCAGTGAGGAAACCAGCCAGGTGGGTGAGGTGAGCCGAGTGCCGACTTGGATGGCAGGCTAATGGGAAGAGCCTTAGGAAGCACAGTCCTTGGTGATGGGTGAGAAGGGAGATGTTGCATGTATTAGTCACAGTTCTATTGCTGTGATAAAATAACTTGACAGAGTGATTTGGACAGAGAAAAGGTTTATTTTAGCTTATAGTTCCAGAGGGATAACATCCATCATGACAGGGAAAGCATGGCAGGAGCAGGAAGCTGACTGATCACATTTTTTTTAATCCACAAACAGGGAACAGGAAAAAAAAAGGGGGGGGGAATTATTCCCAGTCTACAAAACCTCAAAGCCCACCCCCAGTGGCATCTTCCTCCAGCAAGGTTCTATAACTTTCCCAAACAGTGTCATCAACCAGGGACCAAGTGTTTAAATACAAGAAGAGCCTATGTGGGGCATTTCTTACTCAAACCTCCACACAAGGAGAGGCTCTTTGGGATTAAAGTCACGAGCTCTATCGATGGATGCTGACATTGACTTAACAATTTCAGCTTCCTCTCTACCACCTCTTTCTAACATCCCAGATGCTCCATAATTGTTCTTACTCTAGCTTCTGAGCAGATGCCTTCCCTTCCTTCCTTTCCCATCTTCTCCTTGTTCTAAAAGACTCAGACAGGGATCCTCGTAGCCTGTATTTGCCTCTTTCATAGACTTCTCCATCATATGGTGTCCATCCAATGTGGGTATCTCTTTTCCATGTCTAAACACTTTTGCACCCATACATATCATTATTCAAGGAGGACCCTCATTTTATAGAGAAGGGAATCAGGCCTTGTAAAGAGAAGAGCTGTGGTCTTAGAAAGGTCAGAACTTAGGTTAGAGGTCAAGTCTCACTTTAAAAAAATTTTTTTTTCATGTATTGACATAGTGTGTGCACAGTGAATCTAAGTGGCCTTTCAGTGTCTACCTCATATCTGCTGATGGCCCTTTTCCCTTTTGCTCCTACTACCCAGAACCCAGCAGTTTGTCTATAGATGCTGTTGTTGTCTTGTTAGTTTAACGCTATCAGCCATTTCTGAGTTGAGTTTTGGCTGGGGAAGGGGTAGGACGTGGGGCTCTGCCACAGGAAAAGGACAAGTCTAATTTGAATGGAAATAATCTAGAGGAAATGTTGAAGGTTAAAAATAGTAACAAGGAAAATGTTTATGGAAGGTTCTTTCACACTGAGTGGAAAGATGGTGTACAACTCTTGGCCTGACCCTGCCTGTTCTGTACTTGTAGCCCAGATTCTACAAAAGAAAAACAAAATGGCAGAGGGAGAGAATAAGCACTGGTTCTGATCCTCCTTTGTCCCAAACTTGTATGTGCAGTGCTTGGCAGTTGTGTGAGGCTGCCAATCTTCCTGTGTTAGTGAAGAGAAAGCTAAGACCCAGAGAACTGTAGCAAGTTGGCTCTGGTGCAGCTCCTGAGCCCACTCTGCCTTGATGTGAAGTAAACATATCTGTGTGCTGGTTTCCATTGTTCTGTATCAGTTACAATAAGGGGGCATTAAAAACAAAAGCAGTCATATTGTTGGGAGTAAATTTCATCTCTGTAGCTTTAAAACACAAACAATAATAATAATTCCATTAGCAAAGGCAAATTGCACCATACTGCTGAGTATAAATTTTATTGCTACAGTAACTGTAAAATACAAAGATGATAAATGAAACGTTGGAACATTTATTATTGTGAGTTTATTTTATTGGTATAACTAAAACACAGACAAAGTGAATAATGCTAGTAGTTGTTCATAATTGTACAGCCTCCTGACAGCATATGTGATTCAGGCTGTGCGATGGCATGATTAGATCTGGGCTGATGGAAGGGGCCATACAGGGCGCTATAAAGCCCCATGGCTAAAACATCCTGAGCACCCAGCTAGAAGGGTGCTAAGTGGGCTAAGTGTTTGTTGTGGAAATACAGGGACCTGAGTTTGGATTCTCAGTGCCCATATCAAATCTGGGTAAAGTGTTTGTAACCTGGGGTTGGGGGGAGTGGCAGGGGAGATGGGGTTGATGTTTAGGAGCTACAGGGTCAGTGGTACACCCTGTTTAAAAGTAATAATAAGGTTGAGAGCAATAGAAGACAGTGTCACCCTTTGTCCTCCATACACATTGTGCGAGCCACATTCAGACATGAAGGAAAGATAAAAATCTTTCGTCTACAGCTTGGGAAAGAGAGGAGGCAGTCCACAGTTCTTGTCATCTGTAATGCCCCTTGAGGACTGACAGAAATGACTGTGAGTCAGTGTGACCTGGAGACAGCCCTGGTCCCAGGAGTGAATTGAGTGAGTGGGGGCTGAGGGCACTCAGGGCAGTGATCAGGAAGTGAGCATGTTGGCCTGGGTTCTGGCAGGGGCTGATCTGTTCTGAGCTCAGACTCCAGCTGAGGGGTGACAGGAGGCCTCTCAGCAGCCCAGCAGGGTTTGTGCTGCCCTGGCCTCACAGGAGAGGCCTCAAGCAGGGTGGAAGGGGGACCTGCAGAGTACTGAGGCAGGCCTGCAGAGGACCCCTTGTGGTAGCCCATTAGCTCCAAGAGGTAATCATCTCATTTGTCACATGAGGAGACTGAGGTGTAACAACTAATTTACTGAGGCTAGAAAATTTACCCAGACCACACTGGGGTTGGGATAGAGTGAGGATTTAGAAGCAGATCTGTCCAGCTGGAGCCGGTGTTTTTTCTTTCAGTTATTCACACTGAATTCTATTACTGTGATATTGTCATGGTTTTCTGAAGCCTTGCTTGAAAGGAAACCGCAATATAAATAAGGGCTCTATTTGCAGGTGATTTCTGTGGGAGCTTGGACAGCCAGGATAGCCCTTTGGGTGCCCTGGTCCAGTGTGTGAGCATCTGGTTACACAGCTTCGGGTTAGGGAATTTTATATACTCCTGAAATCAAGTGAGGTACTGAGTGGCAAAGAGTTTTGTTTAATTTTTCTGCTACCCTTTTTCTGAGAAGCCAGCTTGAGGTGGAGCCATTTCCTCAGTTTTCCTTCTGGAGACTGCAGCCATTGAGGATGCAGTGAGGACCGAGGTCTCAGCTGCAGCCAGCACCGTTCTTTCTGCGTTCCTGCTCGTGGCCCTGTGTCTGGTTTAGTGTCAGGCCTGCCTGATTGTTCCACAGAGAGAACATTCTAGGGCCACAGCCCAGTACCCTGGGCATTTAATACCACAATACCAGGTGCAGGGTGCTGGCACCCAAGTCCCCCTTCACACCCTAAGTCGTAGTGTGTGCCGGACCCATTTTGGTGTACTTAGAACGTTTGCCCTCAGGCTGGTGCAAGGTGGAGCATGCAAATGCTAACCTCACAGATCTGTTTGTTGCATGCTGCTTCTTTGCCCATTGATTCCTGTACTGCCTTCTATACCTCTGGTGTAAGAGTACTAGCGGGAAAATTGGCAGCTGCCATCAAGAGTATTAAAGTGTGCTTACCCTTGGGCTCGGAGATTCTCTTTCTAGTAGTGTGTCCCTAGAAACCATGAAGCCACAACACTGATGTTTAGTGAGCAGTTGCTCAGTACCGGGCACCTCTTCTTAGATCTTGTTCACATGTCACGTGTACATTAGAAGCAGCTTAGAGAATTGACTTCATAAAGTATGTTCCATATAGTGATACAGTCGTTAAGATGATGATGCAGATTTATGTTTACTGACTTTGTAAAGCGTGTTCTCAGCATAGTGAGTGATTCATTGTACAGGTTAGTTCACTAGTATACACTACATGGTTCTGTGTGGGTAGGTAGAGCCCTGAAAGGCTGTGTGCTAAAATGTTAATTTTATCCTGTTGGATAAGTACCCCCCCGTTTCTGAATTATAAATATTATTATTTTTTTTAAAAAGGAAACTTAGCTCAGGCAAATGTCAGGAATGACTGACAAATACCCCTTATCCTTTGGGGCTGGGGAAGTTGCCATGAGACAGGCCCCCCGACTCAGCCTGCCCTTTGCCTCTCTGCAGCAAAGCAGTGGAGAGCCTCGCCGAAGGGGGAGGTTCTGAAGTCCAGCGCGTGAAAGAAGATGCCAGGAGGAAGGTGCAGCAGGTGGAAGACCTCCTGATGGAAAGGATACATCTTCTAGAAGAAGTAAGTCTGGAGTTGCCGAGGGGCCTCTACTTACAGGTCAGTCCTGGGGAGGGTCACCTTTCCGCAGCAGTTACTGGGTGTCCTCTGGGTCTGGCCTCATTGTAGGCACTCTGCCCCTGTAACTGACAGCTACACGGTTGTCTCCTTCCTGTGAGGACCCTGAGGTACAGAGGGAAGTACTAACTGGCCCAGGTGGTTGCCAAGGCCCACTGAAGGAGGGTAGCCCTGAGCACATTCAGATTGCCTGCTGCTCGGCTATTGCCTGCCCTCCCAGCTCTTGTCCCGTTGCAGCCTCTGTCCCGGATCGTGCAGAACCGAGTGGCCGCTCTTCTCTAGTGGACTCACACAGCGTCCTGTGCTCTTCCCTCTGTCAGGCGGCTGCTGTGACTCCAACTGGGAGTCAAGTGCTTTCTGGCTAAACATCCGCCTCTGGATGGGACAACAGACAGTGTTCCTCTATGTTAAGCTAGTATTAAGAACCACAGTTTGAGTAGCCCTTTCCTGAAGTGCTTGGATCCAGAAGTGGTTTAGACTTGAGATTATTATTATTGAAATTTTTATGTAACTAATGAGATGTCTTATGGATGGGTTCTAAGACTAGACACAGAACTCAGTTATATTTCACATATGAATTATATATGTAATTAGGGAATTTTGTACAATATTTTAACATGACTGTGTTCGACTACAACCCATCACATTAGGTCAGGTGTGAAGTTTTACATTTTTGACACGCTGATAATCAGAAAGTTTTGTAGTTTGAGCCTTCAGAATTTAGATTGGGTTGATCTACATATTAATAATTATTATGGTATTTACTTATGTGTTTTGAGGCAGGATTAGCTAGGTAGAGAGTTAGGTCTCAAACTTGCAATCCTCCTGTCTCAGCTTCTCAAATACTCTAATTATGAGCACATACTACTGTCTAAGCATTTCTTTTGTTGGAAAAGACGACACCATGACCACAACAACTCTTTTTTTTTTTTGTTTTTTTGAGACAGGGTTTCTCTGTGGCTTTGGAGCCTGTACTGGAATTAGCTCTTGTAGATCAGGCTGGCCTCAAACTCACAGAAATCCTTCTGCCTCTGCCTCCCCAGTGCTGGGATTAAAGGCATGCATCACCACCACCCGGCGTGATCACAAAATCTCTTATAAAGGAAAACATTTGATTGGTACTTTGTTTACAGTTTAGAGGTTCAGTCCATTATCATCATAGGAGGAAGCATGGAAGAATGAAACCGGACATGGTGCTGGAGAGGTAGTTGGGGGTTATACGTCTGGAAAGGCAGGTGAGAGAGACACTGGGCCTGGCTTGAACATTTGAAACCTCAAAGCTCACTCCCAATAACAGGCCGCTTCTAGTGACACCACACCAAATCCTACAAAGCCCTATCTCCAGTAGTGCCTTTCCCTGGTTACCAAGCATCCAAATCTGTGAGCCTACAGTATTGGGGTGTTTGGGGGTAGGGTATTCTTATTTAAGTCACCACAACCACCACCCACCACACCCTTAATCAAGACAGTTGAGAAAGTTGTCACCTCTTGATGCAGCACTTTGTTTGTCCCATGAATACTTTCCAGTGCTTCTGCTTTGTCACTTGCTGCATTTATCCCATCGGGTGAAGCATTTGCCTGTGTGAACTGAACACAGAAGCACCAGCTTGTAGCACTTGCTGCAGTAACAAGAACACATTCCCACAGTTAGAGTTCCCCTGGAAAGCCTCATGTGTGTGCTTAACTATCCTTCTAAGAAACCTATGTGCTAACTACTTCCATTTCTCCCTCTCTCTCTTTTTCTCTCTTTTTTAAACATAGTGAAACATTAGGCACAGAGTGGCCAGGTCATTTGCTAAAGGTCACACAGTGGTAAAGGTCAGGTGATCTGGCCACATTTTAGGCTCTAACATTCTGCTGTCTCGGTCCACAACACTTTAGGGGTAGGTCAAGATCAAATGTGATATAAGACTTCTTGCTCAGAGCCTGGCTTTAGTTGCCACTCAGCAAATAACAGGCATCGTTGTTTGCTGCCTAAGAAATATGGAGTGACAGACAAGCCTCTTAAACAGATAGTTAGTGGGAAGGGGCAGGGGAAGAGAAGCTGAGCTTTAGCTTCTGGATGCCAGGTGTTGGCAGTCCCCCAGCAACTCTTTGGAATGTTGGGTATCCTGTCTTCTGGAGTAAGAACCAGGGCTCAGAGTTTAAATGACTGTCCAACGTCACACAGCAAGTGTAGTAGGAGAGCTGCACTTTGAATCCAGTTTTATTTGACTTTAATGTTTGTGGTGTGATCTTGAGGCAGTGGTCTGTGTAGGTGGAGAGTCAGCCCTGTTCCAGGTCACTTGCGTGAGGACCAGAGCCTTCCCCCAACAGAGACATGGTCTAAATGATTTAGAAGATAATTTCCATGGTGGTTTCCTGAGCACTCAGGAAAAGCATAGAGCTTTTCACCACTTAAATCACCTCGGAGATACAGAAATGCATTTTAGAAATGTGTAGTCATTATCTTAAAAAGAAATGGTGGGGGGCGGTGAGCTGTGGGATGAATTTGCATGGAGATTAGGGTGACTCTGGGACTTATGCATGTTTAGTATTGAGAAGCGCATTTCTCCTTGTTCTCATTGAAGCTGTAAATATTGATCTGATTTTTCAAAACCAAAAGTACAGTTCTTGTAGAGTTGACTCTTTTCCATTGGAAGTGCCCATTACTCTTCCAATACAAGAGGGAAAAATGGCTGGCAAATATATTTATTACGCATTCTTTCCATGTATAGTACATTCAGGGAGGGGAAATGTGCCGGAGAAAAAGTCATAAATATTTATATTTTAATCCAATTTCCTTTCAAAATGTTCCCAATTGTATTGAAAAATTGCATCAAATGCATTTAATTTAACTGTAGGATGTGAAAGCCGCCCAAGCAGAACTGGAGAAGGCCTTTGCAGAGACGGAAACAGAGAAGGCGTTTCGCCTCAGCTTGGAAAGCAAGCTCTCTACCATGAAGAAGATGCAGGAGCGGGACCTGGAGTTGACTCTGGCTCTGGAAGACAAGGACAGGTCTGGATCTGCTCCCTGGGAAGCTCAGGTCCCATCATCTGGAGAGGGAGAGAACCTAGCCTTCCTCTCCCTCCCATCTGCCATTATTCTTCTCTAGAGTGAACTACCTTCCTGGAGTGTATTTAGCACAGCAAGATAAAACTGGGCATGAGAGAAACAGGAACAAGATACTGGTGGGCGAGAGGTGGTCACTAGACAAGTTCATGTTAGAAAGGGGTGCGGAGACCCTAAGTTTAGCGTTTAGCTTGGCGATAGCTTCCTGGTAGACAAAGGAAAAGCAGCCCTATGGACCTGAGGTTCGTATTACCCATGAGGTGAAACAAGCCATGGATTCAGGAGAGACCCAGTTTTGCTTGGCCCTAGTAGAGGGAAATTGCTCTTGTGGTTCTTTCCACAAGGGGCAGTAAGTGGTGATGTCCCCACAACGACGCTAGTGAATTTTGTGTGATCTGTTTCCCATCATGGTTTTCAATGTTGGCTACAGGCCGACATTATGCAGCCTTATAGAACAAAGAGCATTGTAGATCAAATACAGAGTTCTTCAGTGCATTGTGAATAAGCGGTGTGGTGTTGGGTCAGAGAAATGGATGGGCAGCAGGACTGTTAGGCCCACTCTAATGACCACTGTATTCTGCTGGGAAACTTTTGACAAAAACCCGTTAAGAAGTAGTTGAAATTTTCTTGTGACATTTTGATTGTCTTATCTTATTTGTTGTCTCTAAGTGGGAGGTAGAGTTAAGATAGTGGAGACAAACTGATATCATAGGTGCTGAAGAGCCACACCTATTTGGAATTGGATGAGACTATTCCTGAGTCAATTGTCTCCTCCAGAACGTTCTGTCTCTTTTCTCAGCCACTCAGTGCCCTGTGGAATGGCATGTCCCACCATGTTATTTAGCTAGTTAAAGGCCAGGCTGGCACAGACTCACTGTGTGGCTGAGGCTGTCTTTGAACTCCTGATGTCCCTACCACACTTTCCCCAAGTGCAGAGGGTTTGCAGCAGTATGTCCGCCTGCCTAGCTGTTTAGGTTTTTGTGCCCAAGTGCTGTTTGCCTTTACTTCTGACCTAGTCCCACCCTGCTATTTACCTAAATAATGTCAAAATATTAAGGTCTGCAACTTTGTTTTCAGTTTGTCGTTGGGAAATTAGCAGAACACACCTTCTGGGATTCTTTCCCTGAGGGGACCGAGTCAGTACTGAGGGAGCCTGTGGTCATGGTCTCCATATTTCAGTACCCTCTCACTTCAGGTATTCACAGGACTGTATTTATTGTGATTACTGGAACCTTTTTTAGGTTCCTTTTTAGTTTTTTTATTTTTGGCTCATCGTTTAGAGGTATTTTTTTTCATTTTAATTTTGGTGTATGTGTGTATACATGCATGGAGGTCAGAAGTTGGTCCCCTTGTCTTAGTTTTGATCTGTGAAATAGAAGTGTTGTATCTGGACCTTGGTGCAGGAAATGAGTTATTAGCTCCATCTATCCCTTTGTGATTCAGTTTTTCTTGATCATTTGTCAGGAAGAGAAAGTGGTCCTTTTGCTGACTTTTTCTGCTAGGTAGCATCCATGAACAGTGAAGAACTACCACATCTAGAAATTCTTTGTAAGTCATTGTTGTATTCCATGATCTCTTTCTCTGTTGATTGGCAGTGAAGTCCTTAGAAGGCATATAGGCTTGTCTTTCTTGGAGAACTAATAAGTTTTATAAGATAAATTGGGGTTAACGAGCCTAAGGAATGGATTTGTCTAGAGTAGAATGTTTGAGTAGCCATAGGGGGTAAAAAGGAGAATTCTTAGTATTGGTGACTAGGAATAAAGGAGGAAAAAAAAGGCTTTACAAAGGGGACTTGCATTGCCAAAACCAAAGCTTATCCGAGTTGGCTGGGTGGAAACACGGGAAGGCAGGAAGAGAAGGATCAGGACTGAATGGGACAAACAGTGGTTTCTCGTTACTGTTTACAAATTTGTGTGGAGGTCCAAGAGAAGCCTCTCATATTATGTAGGTGTTCATGAACTGAGACAGACTTGACTGTATTCAGCCTTTACTTGCTGTGCACCTCCACCCCAATCTTTACATATCTGTGTTAAATTTTAATTGATAAATTAGACAGAGTAAGATTTAAAAAGCAGCCAATTGTGGCAATAGTTAGTGTGACTGTGGTCAATTCCATAAAAATACTGCACTGTGTTGTCTGAGGTTTTCTGTCCTTCCTGGTTCCCGCAATCGTTTATCATCTAAAAGAAATCACACAGAGATCTACATTAAGTATAAACTGATTGGCCAATTAGCTCAGGCTTCTTACTAACTCTCATAACTTATATTAGCCCATTATTCTTATCTGTTTAGCCACATGGCTCAGTACCTTTTTCAGCCAGACAGTCACATCGTGCTTCTTCTGTGGCTGGTCACGACTGTGAAGGATTGGACTTCCTTCTTCCCAGAATTCTTCTCTTCTCATTGACCTGCCTGGCTATCCTGCCTATACTTCCTGCCTGTCTACTGACCAATCAGCATTTATTTAAAATATAATTGACAGAATACATCCCATGGTCCCACAACAGTACTGGCCTAACCTTGTTGTGATGATGTGAGATGATATGTGGTGGCGTGAAGTGTGGTAAATGACACAGGCATGATACACTGTTGGGTGACTGTGTAAGGTTTACTTGATTGTCAGCATCATGGAACAGTTCTGGCAGTCGTGACTGCTAATTAATTAACAGGGAGGTAGCATATACAGTGTGGCTATGCTGGACAAGCCACTGGGCCTTGTGGAAGAATCGATTCATCTGAACGGCATGGGAAATTCCTTTGAGAGTTTAGGGGGAGCTTGGGGAAGCCACATGATTAGATTTTTATTTATTGCAGTTCCCTGCTTGCCTGGGGGATGGATTGTCACGGGGCTCTCATGCTGATGCAGACATCCAGATAGAGGATGACAACTGAGACTGAAAGTCTGGGGTGGGATGGAGGCAAACAGCTGGTGATAGAGGTGAGATGGACACAGTGGGCTTTAAGGACTTTGGGAAATGGGAGGATGAGGCTTCCAGTTAGGACAGGAGCTCTAGGGTCTGTGAGCATCTATGAGTGGAGGGGAGGGGAGGGGAGGGGAGGATGAGTGGAGGGGAGGGTGAATGGAGGGAAGGGTGAGTGAAGGGGGGCGAGTAGAAGGGAGGGTGAGTAGAGGGGGGTAAACAGAGGGTGCCTGAGTAGAGGGGAGGGTGAGTGGGGGTGCAGACAAGTGGTGGTATGGATGAGGGGAGGGCCAGGGGAGGTGCTGGCAAGCAGAAGTGAGGGGTAGGGCAGGTGGGGGCGGGGGAAGGAGATATGGGCGAGGGGAGGTGAGCACAAGGGGATGTGGGCAAGCTGAAGTGTGGGTTCTAGATTCCTGCCATTTGCACGGGTCTGGCTAGACAGGTATAGAAACCTGACTTGCCGGTCTACAATTTTGTCAATCTCAGCAGTGGTGTCCCAGTTAAACTCCCAGAGACCAGCAGCCAGATGTCACCTTGATTTTTCCCTTAGGATATAACCATTTGATAAATCTCTAGGAACAAAATCTCACTTAGCCCATATTTAAGTCAAGGTCACAAGGTTAGCCCAGCACAGCAGCAAGGGTCATTAGTTATATCCAGGTGACATGGATCTGATCAGCCACACAGAGGAACCTGCTGTTAGGCATGGCGAGCTGGTGAATCTTGGGGTCTGGCCTCTACTTGCATGGGTACTGCCAGTGTCTTCCTGGGTTCCTACCATCTGTTTCATTATTTTCCCTACTTTAGTTTCTTCAGTCTGGGTTTTGAGCTGTTCTGCATCTGACGGTGATCATGTTGGGAGCCCCATAGGTTGTATTTTTAAAAGCTTGGATTTGTTGCTGGCGTTTAAAATATTGTATTTCACAGAAGAGTGACTTCTCACTGTTCTTGATTCCAAAGATGTAACGCCTGTGGGTGTCTTATTGGCTCCATATGGTGGGCTGAGCCGCCAATGTCCTTTAAGTTCAGGCTCCCACTTTCTCTTTTAAACTTGTATTTGGTGAGGTTTTGCTCTCCATTTGCTCATTGATTATCAGAGCAGAACCCCTAGAGGGCAGTATTGCGCCTCCCTCCAGGTTTCTGGGCCAGCAAGCTGATCCCACTGGTGCTCTGATTCCAGTGCACTGCTAGGTGCTCCTGCTGCCTGAGTCACCCTCCTCACCTCACCGCTGACGGGAAGCTAGTGCTTCACGCGGGCAGCTCTGCCAAATCTCCAGACCTCTGCTGTACATAACCAGGTTGCTGTCTAGGCTTAGGTAGCAAAGAAATCTTTGGTGAGTCTTCCAACAAAGTAACTGTTGAATATTAAACAGGCAGGGAGACATAGTTTCCTGGACAAAATGCTTGTCATTTGAGCACAAGGACTTGAGTTCTGATTTCCAGCACTAATGGAAAGCTGGATGTGACGATATCCCGGCATTGTAAGGCAGAGAGACAAATGGGCTTGTCAGCCAGCCCAGCAAAGCCAAAATAAGGTGGAAACACAGCTGAGGAAAACATTTGGACATTGACCTCTGACCTCTACACACACACACACACACACACACACACACACACACACATCCCTTGTACACAGGTAGCATGCCAGCTGTCATTTGTTGATTTCAGTTGTATGTCAGAAGTGCACTTTTTTTTTTTTAAGTTGTCCAATACAGGCTCAGAAAGGTAGAATGACTTAGCTTGGTCACAGAGCAGCTAATCAAGCACATTGAGTTTGGTTCCAAAGAGGGAAATGTTCACATCTTCTAGAGGGAGTTAAGGTTGTAGGTGGCAGAGTTTGTCTCAGACTCAGAGATGGAAGATGCAGTTAAGGAACTCTGGTTTTGTCAGGAAGGATAGGAAGGGGTTTGGGCAGAAGGTATTGATAACACATGCAAGGGCATCGAGGGCACAGAATAGCTTTGGGGTGAGCTGTCTGTGAGCTGCTGAGTACTGATCAGGATCACGATGAGACTGGGTTATTCTGACTGAAGAACCGGATGCCTTATCCTGAAGTCTGACTGTTAGCTTGAGACGTGTGTTTTTAAGCATTGTCTGCTAGTCATGGAGAGATATCCCCGCTTTTAAATCCACACCCACCCAACAGCTCTTGATTGGTTGTTTGCTTAGACTTCAGGGACAGATTTCTTTTAGAGAGGGGATTTCTTACTCAGAACTTAGTGGTCTGCCTCTCCTGGTGAGGGCCGCTGAAGGTCTGAGCAGGTGCATGACTTGAACAACCCAGGTGCAGCTCAGAGCTAAATTCCTGGACGAGGCTGGAGACACGTGGACTTATTAACATCCCATAAATTCTGGCCCAAGCTCTGTGACCTGTGAGTGAATGCAGTTCTGTTTGTGCGTTTTCATCGGACACATGTACTTTGAAGATGTCTGGCCCGGCTTCCTACCTCCTCCTGCTCCACTGAGCTAAGAGAGCAGCTCAGAATTAATATTTAAATTTTGTTCTCTTTTAGACTGATTGAGGAGTTGAAGTTGTCTTTGAAGAGTAAAGAAGCTTTAATTCAGTGCCTTCAAGAGGAGAAATCTCAGATGGCGTCTCCTGACGAGAATGTGTCATCTGGAGAACTCCGAGGACTTTCTGCCACTCTGAGGGAAGCAAAGGAGAGAGACGCTGAGGTGAGGCGACAGGGCACAGCAGGAGGGGGAGCATATCAGACTGTTCATGGGAAGTGGGGCACTCTTCAGTCTGCACGGTTTGCACAGTGACTTCCACATGCAAGTTCTGTCAGCTGAGGAATCTGCAGGATCCACCTTTGTTAGGGCCTGCCTTTGTTCATGTGTCGTAGACTTCTGCATCTGTGCTTTACCATGTGTTAATTTGCTGTCACCTTGGGGCTTCCTTTTCATCCTTAGGGCTTTCTTAGTGTAAACCTGTGCTGCATTGTTCGTGTCCAGTTTTCCTTTGTTGTTAGAGGCTGGCTTGTTGTCCATATTTGGTGTGAAACATCAGAGTCTGTGGGGGAAGGGGACTGGGTCTGGGCCTGGCAGCATATGAGATGTTCAGTATCCTGCCCTGCTCAGGCCTCCCAGCCCTTTGGTCAAGTAGGGATTGTGATCTCCTGACTGAGTTAGGACCAGCCTTAGATCAGTCATCTCTCCAGGTTGTAAGACGTGGGCTGTCAGACCTTGGGCCCAAATCTCCTGAACTCCTCTTGCTCTTGTGACTTCCTGGGCAAGCTATGTTGACCTTCCATTCTCCTTGGGTGGGTGGAGAGAGTCTGCTGCATGGTCTGTCCACATCAGGGTGTGTTCTGGAAGCTCCACAAAGGTCGTATTTCTTTATGAAGCAGGGTCCTTGTCCTTGTGACAGTTGCAGATTCTTTAGCCTCATCAGTTAATTTCTTTTGGAATGGGGTTGCCACTTCAATTCCCAGGCTGTTTTCTAGTGGGCCCATTACCTTTTCTTCTGAAGCACCTGTTTACTCTGTGAGACTCATAGTCAAACCATGGGCAGCTGCTTCACACTTTTCCTCCCTCAAACCATGTCAGACTACGAAGGAGGGCTCACTTGTGTTAATGAGTTCTGCAGCAGTGGAGGGGAGTGAGCTGTGATGGCTCAGATGGCGGTGGGAAAGCCTTCGGTGGACCTCCTCGCTCATGAATACCTTTTCCTAGGCTGCACAGAGGGCATGGCAGATGGAGAGAAATCACTGGGAAGAGAAGATCCAGGTATGTTGATTCATTTTGAGACTGTTTTGAAGACTTTTTCTCCTCTTGCTTCTCATTTATTCTGAGTGCAAGAGATAATTCTTTGTGACAGTTGATTCGATGCCACTGAGTGCCAGTTATGCGTCCAGCACAGAAGAGGTATTCCCCAGTCCTTGCTGTGACTCTCATTCCCATGTTGTAGATGTAGTAGCTGAGGCTCAGAAAGGTGAAGTCACTTGCTCATGATCCCATAGCTGGAGGAAGGAATCTGCCTGTTTGATTCAACAGCTGGGCTCCAAGGGCCCTTAGTCACAACAGCTGCAATTTGTACAGTGCCTGCCAGCTTAGAAAGTACTTTCACATCTCTTATCTCATCTGATCCTCACAACAGCCCAGGAGGGAGGCAGCAGTGATTTTCTTAAGACGTGAACTCAGACTATAAATGCAGGGCTCAGTCCCCATCAACCAAACTGTCTGCCTGCTTTTGTAGCATTAAGGAATGAAATTAATGATCTGTTAGTTCCTCCAAATAACCTGGTGCAGTCTCGAAGACTCTGATGTGACTATATTCAGATTTTAGAAGGCACTGGAGTCCTTCCCATAGGAATAGCTGTCAGCTTCTCAAATGATCAGATCCCCTTCCCTTCACCCGGCCCTGTTGCCGGGAGCAGTAACACAGTAACTGGGAGCTGATGCCACAGCGTTCGGCTAGACTAGGAAACATTAATCACAGGTT